CATCTTGTGTCTGGACACTCCTCCATCTTGTGTCTGGACACTCCTTCTTCATGCTGCTCTTCAGAATCTCTCCCTCGGTGAACGGCCGGGATGATTCTTCTCCTCCGCCACAACAACACTTTCTTTCACAGCAGCTTCTCGTTCGTCTCAGGGTCTTCCACTCTTCTTCTTTCTGTATCTTCTGCTGTGGTTCAGGTTCTGCAGCTGTTCTGTCTCGTAGTTCCTTCTCAGATGATGTTCTTGAATTAGCTCCACAGATGAGACCTGCATGATGGTAAACGTGACCATGAGCCTCGCGTCGGTTTGAACGGCTCAGTTTTCAGAGTCAGCGTCACGTTACATCGGTCGTGACCAGCAGCAGGAGCTGCACCTGACTGACGCTGGAGTGTTCAGGTAGCCTAGTGTTCAGGAAGGGAACTGAACCAGTGCATTATGGGATCTGTAGTTAGAATGGATGTATATAAAATGATCCGGCCCGCGGGCCTTGAAGCTTTAAGCCACCATCCCAAATCACATTTGTTTGATTTTAACACGTGGACGTAAATGGTTGTGTTTCCAGAGCCCTTAAAGCACCCCCTCCTCTCTGGTTCTGCGTCGTTTCTGAAACATGCCGCTGTGATCATCTCCAGCATCAAAGATGGATTCATCAGCGTCGGCAGAGCAGCTCCAGGTAAAGTCCCGCACCGGGCGGCACTGAGACACGTCTCGTTCATGACCGCAGCTGCTCGTTGAAATGAGCCGTTTGTCTTTTCTAAGCACGACTCCAGAACATCAGAGACTTCGCTCCAGGTCTAAGGAGCAGAGGAACCAAGATAACCAGCTGAAATCAGCCACACATCTATTTTTGTGTTTTATTCAGTTTCTCTTTTTGGTGCGCGACACATTTTTATTACAAAACCTTAAAATGCTTCAAAATGTTATTTTGTCTGATTAATTTTCAGGTGCTCTCACAGTGACACCCCCCCCCCCCCCCCCCCCCAGGGTTCTAAAAACTGACCTCATGGAAAATCCCATAATAAATTATAAATTCCTTTTTTGATCCCAAAACTCTATCGTAAAGAACTCTGTTCCTCTGTCATTTTATTTTACTTCTGAACTTTTGTGTTCGCTCGCTCTGTGATTCTTCGCTTTTTGTAATTGAGAGCCTAAATTTGACCACAGCAGACTTCAGCTTGGACCACAAGAGGTCCAGCTCCTCCAGCCGGACGTTGATGCAGACCCTTCATCTCTTCCAACAGAACTTTCAGTTTGGACCAAGAGCTAAAACTCATGCAATGAGCTCAAATAACACAATTTATACTAGTACACAATTTTGTTCCACCTCATGTACCACATGTGATGCAAATGAGCTTGAAGTAAACATTTGGTGCAAACAAGCAGCTTCATGCGTGCAGGCTGCAGAACGGGTCAGAACAGCTGACCGTTGGTGTGACAGGAACCAGTTCAAGGTTCTTTGTTGTCGTTCATCACGTGTGGTGCATGAGGTGGAACAAACTTCTGTACCCAGGGTCCCAGTTACACCCTAAATATAAAGTATAAAAAGGAAACAGTATATAAGGATCTAAGATATACACTAAACACTAATAATGCTAAATAATTTGGTTTATTAAACGGCAGCCTGAACATGAGTCTGTGGTGAGCAGACGGCTATGAACCATTAAACCAGGAAGTAAATGGAAGATGCTCTGTGCTGATAATAATGATGATGATGATGATGATGATGATGATAATAATAGTAATGATGATGATAATGATGATGATTATGATAATAATGATGATCATAATAATGAAGATAATAATAATGATATTAATGATGATGATAATGATGATGATAATGATGATAATGATGATGGTGATAATGATGATAATGATGATAATAATATGATTATGATAGTAATAATAATGATATTAATAATAATGATATTAATAATAATGATAATTATGATGATGATAATAATGATAATAATAATGATATTAATAATAATGATGATAATAATAATGTGTTGTCATCATGCAGAGATGAGAATAAATCTGGTTCAGTAAAAACAGAAACTCCTTTTGTTCAAGTAGATTTTTATAAAATAAAATAAAAACAGAATTCTGGAGCACGGAGCAGCACCTGCCGGCTGGACTGGAAACAAGACCGACCCAAAGGTTCTGGTGGGCTGCAGGGTCTTCAGAAGATCCTCGGGGGACTACTTTCTTTTCCAAAAATTGCCTTATTTTTTTATGTCTATTAAAAAACTCAAACTTAAATATGGAAGTTTATTATTTATTTATTTTTGAAGTAAAAACAGAGAAAGTTTAAATGTTAAACTATTCATTAAATGTTCTATTTTAGTTTCAGGTGAGACGGCTCTAAAAGACTCGGTTTATTGTGGAAAACATCTCGATTAAAAAAGTTTTTCATCAGCGTTTGATTCCCCCCCCCCCAGGAACACTTTTTGTCATAAAGGACCTTGTGAGGATTAAAAACATCTCGACCTCTAAAGTTCACTCCAGTAGGTCCTGATGCTGCTCAGTGATCCAGTAGATCTAACAAAGTTCAGTCAGGTCCTCTGGATGATTCTTCTTGTTGAAATGTGTCGTCTTTTATCCAAAGGACTTCTTCAGAAGACTTCTTCTCATAGTGGACCAACGAGTCTGGTGTTGACATCCAGAACTAGCTGTTCACGTGTGAAGCTGCTGCTTTTGAGCCGTGCACGTGGAAATGGGCTGGAAGGTTGAAAAGCGTTGGTTCAGTGAGGCTGTAACTGGAGACGTTCCTGTTTTCCTTGATGGGTCTCTGGTCGGTCTCCATCAGTCGCAGCCCGGTGACGCTCTGACTTCAGGACCAAACATCACAGCAGTTGCTGCCATGTCGTCAACGTTTAGTCAGAAGTCCCCATGACTCTTCTCCCTCCACTCATTTACTGAATTCATTCAACATGCTTTAGATCTGTTCGTCACTACGGTCGTCTTTAGCACAGAAAGTTCAAAGTTTTGACAATGGTCTCGTGTGAGTGGGTAAAGTTTCCTTTATTTTGTCTTCCTGCAGAGTCCTTACTGGTCACCATATGGACGAGTCTCGTCCGGTTTGTCAACCTGTCCATAGAGTCTGGTAAGTTCTGCCTTCTTCATCTTTGACCAGCAGGAGTGTTAAAGTGTGGGACGTTGGGAGACGTCCAGAGAAAGGAGACTGAATGTAGGGACAGTGTCTGGTGAAGGACAGGGGGTCTACCATGGACTAGAAGTAATCCTGAAGGAGCCGTCTGACGAGTGTCGCACCGTGAGCTGGAGGTTGAGTGTAGATTTGACTGATGTTCATGGAGCCCGAACGGATTAGCCAATACGGATATTTAGAGGAGGGGGCGGCTAATGCTGTTAAATGATTTAATGTCTGGAAATGTTTGAGCTTTGTCCACCCCCAAGAATCTAAACAGCTTCTTTTGAACCCGTTTCCACTCTTGAAACAGTTTTCCTAACGTGTGTTCACATTTTCTGTATTTCTATATCCACCTTAAAGTTCTCAAGTGTGTTCCAGAAATAAACATTTAACATCAAACGTTCTTGCTGTTCAGTCACGTCTGGTGAAGGTCTGATCGCAGCAGAGTTTAGTTTTCTTTACAGAGGAGTGAATATTTGAACCGGTGCATTTCACTGAGGAGCTCCCAGAGGAGCAGAGCGGTCGGGAGCGTCACGGGGAGGACACGGGCCGAGGTTGTGATGAGGCTCATGAGAGTCGAGATGGAAACATGACGTCTCGTTTAGTGAAACAACGATGTGGTAAAGATGCACAGCAGGTCAGGTCCATGAAGGATGAAGAGAAGATACTTCTGAATGTCCAGTGTGGGTTGAGTAACTGGACAGAGTACTCACAGATGGTAAATGGGGACCAGTAAGTAATCCAGTAAACAGGATTGGATGGTGTACTGGTGGAGGTCTGAAGCTCTGTGGGACTTTTGTACAGGAGGTTGAACACAGTCCTGTAGGGTGAGAGGATGCCTGGGTGGAAGATCTTCAAGAACAAAGGTTCAGAACTGCAGCAGCTGCAGAGGCGTAGAGTTGATGAAGGTACGAGATGTTGCAAGGAGGCCCAGGTTCAGAGCAGGGTCCGTTCAGGAGAAGGTCACATCAGTGAGCAGCAGTTTGGTTTCATCCAGACAAAGAGTTCTTGTTTGCTCTGATGGCTGCTCCGTGGACCACGATGTTTGTAGAAGAGGAGGGAGACAGAAGATCCAACGTTTCCAAGACAGCAGTGAGACCTTCTGATTTATGGTCTGGAGACAGTGAGGCTCTAAAAGACGTGATGAAGAGCTGGAGGCAGATGATTTTCTGTGGGGACTCCTGAAGAGAGCAGCTGAACAAACTGATGCAGGCCTGGTGATGGACAAGCTCCGTCATCTTCACTGTATGCAGATGATCCATGAAGCTTCCATGTGACCTGCTGCTGTGGCTGCTGCTCAGCGGCGGGCCCTGAGCTGTGGGTCCAGCCTTGTGGCGCCACACAGAGCACGCCGACTGGGCTGAGGTCATCGTTTGAGAGGAGGACCAGCGAGACCCCGTCCTCCTCTCCCCCTCGCTCAGCCTCAGCTCTGTCATCAGTTTAAATCTGAGCGCTGGATCCTCGTGGTCCAGGCTGCTGTGAAGAGCAGGAGACGCTGAGGGGCACGTCCCCGATGATGACGTGTCTCCTCACAACAAGCGGCACGTTTCTTCTCACCTGGTTGTAATCCACGTGTCCTCTGCTGTGACAGGCAGCAAGAAGGACCGTCAGGGCTGCGAGGCGCTCACGCTGATGCTGCAGGCCCTGCAGAGCGTCGACGAGTCAGAAGGTCTGCCAGCAGACAGAGTCCTGGTGAGTTCATGAGCGTCTGTGGATTGAAGCTACAAATGAAGAGGTGAAGCCGTGCACGTGAGTGACTTAATGTAACGCTGAGCTGCTGCGGATGGTGAAACTCAGCTACACATTTATTACCTTTTAGTTATTAACTTGGTGCAGTCAGTTTTTCTGACGACACCTAAACGTCCTGCTTTTATTTGAATTCAGTCACAATTTGTTGCAACGCGCTCAGAACCCGACGGTAACTTTACTACACTCGTGTTTCTGAGGGGGAAACAGCCGCGTTAAAATACACTAAAATACATTAAAATACGTTTAAATACATTTAAATACGTTTAAATACATTTAAATACGTTTAAATACATTTAAATACATTTAAATACATTTAAATACTCTAAAATACATTAAAATACGTAAAAATACGTTAAAATGAAATACACAAAAATACGTTTAAATACATTAAAATACACTAAAATACGTTATACATTAAAATACATTAAAATACATAAATACGTTAAAATACATTAAAATACATTAAAATACGTTAAAATGAAATACACTAAAATATGTTTAAATACATTAAAATACATAAAAATACGTTAAACCACGTTAAAATGAAATACACTAAAATACGTTAAAATACATTAAAATATATAAATACATTTAAATACGTTAAAATACATAAATATGTTAAAATGAAATGCACTAAAATACGTTTAAATACATTAAAATACATTAAAATACGTTAAAATACATAAAAATACGTTAAAATGAAATACACTAAAATACGTTTAAATACATTAAAATACATAAAAATACGTTAAAATACACTAAAATACGTTAAAATACATTAAAATACATAAAAACGTTAAAATACATAAATACGTTAAAATACATAAAAATACACTAAAATATGTTAAAATAAAATACATAAAAAATGCATAAAAATACGTTAAAATACACAAAAATACGTTAAAATACATTGAAATACATTAAAATACATTAAAATAAAATACGTTAAAATAAAATACGTTATAATGCAACTTTTAATCCCACATTTCTCATAAAATAAAGCATTCCTCTCCAGAAGTATTTTTGTACGTCCATCCCTGAACCTTTGTTTTTACTGCAGCCCACTCAGCGGTGCTCTACTTCAGTGTGTGAACGTTAAAGCCCCCAGTATACTGCTGCGTACGTCCGTACGCAGAGGTACGAGCGTCCGTACGCAGAGGTACGAGCGTCCGTACGCAGAGGTACGAGCGTACGTACGCAGAGGTACGAGCGTACGTACGCAGAGGTACGAGCGTACCCCCCAGCATACCCCCGGGGCATGTCTGTGCAAAGCTCAAATTTTTACGACCGCGTACGTGGTGTCGCACAATAAACTGCCCGGCGACGGACTGTTTTGTTGCGACACCAATGTATTAAATTCCTCTTCTTCATCCCTGATCTGACCTTTTCTTTAGTTTTTTTCCAAGAGGCAGTGATCTCTTCCTGCTCCGTTGATGCCATGACTGAAATGGTGAGAAATGGAGGAACTTGTCACAAGAGAATTAAACTCAGGTCCAGCGTGGCTGCAGGAGGGTCTGGAGATCCTGGTGGGCTGGTCTGATGTGTGGACTGCAGAGCCAGCGCTCCCTGTTTTTTTAGATGTTTTTATTAACAACATATAAACACAGAACACCGCTCTTGTTGAGGCTGTAGCGCTCGGGTTTTTTTTTTCCCCCGACCTGTCAATCAATCCAGTAGGCGTGTCAGCAAATGACCAATCGGCGACCTCAATTTGTCCTGAAGGTAAACGCCCCTCGTCTGCAGAGCTGCTCTGCAGCTGGTCGGGGTGGACGCTGGAGTATCATGTCTGAACCCTCTGCGTACAGTACACGTGAACGTACGTACGCGGCAGCATACTGGGGGCTGTACTCCCCCTGAAGGGACCTCATGTCTCTTGTGAATGAGTCCTGAGGCTCAGTGGACCGACCTGAAGAAATAAAGGTTGAACGATGATAACTGGGACGTCTGTCATGGCTGCCGTCTCGTCTCTTCCTGTCCAACAAGATTGTTGTAGTTTGGCTGTAAAGACCAAAACTTGTCACGTGCACAAGTAAACCTTGAGTATGAAAAGCAGTTTGACGTGCATGTGGGCTGCAGCAGCAGACGACTGTTGTCGGTTTCTTCACGGCAGGACGTCACTCGCTGGTGCACCGTGCTCCTGCAGCTCGCTCACACACCTGAGTCGGTACAGGTGGAACGTAATTAAAGACTTAATTATTTAATGCAACTATTCTTGTCTAGTCTCCGTCTGTCAACGTTCTCTTGTTCTGATGTGCTCAAGATCTTTTAATGTTAATGGACTGGACTTACACAAGCTCCTCGGAGCTCTTTACAACACGACCTGTGTCCTCACGAACTCCAACACACGCGCTCAGACGCCGCTGGGACACACCAGGGGGTCAGCGTCTTGCTCAAAGACACTTCAGCATGCGACTGCTGCTGGAATTCAACCCCCAACTCTCCCACTCAGTCCCAGCTGCCCCAGTTAAATGAAACTTCATACACATGATGTGCAGCATCACTGTCACATACTTCTCATCACCCCCTCTTCAAGGTCACACATGAAGGTCAAAGGTTACACGTTCTGCTGCTGTGTAAGAGTTTGTTGATGGTTCTCTTGTTTTCCTTAATGTGGTTGAACTTCCTGAACATGTGGTTCTTCTTCAGGTTCTGCTCCAGGTCACGGTTAAAGGCCTCCCTCAGAGGGTTCTTGGCTCTGCTTCGTATCAAGTGGGCAAGATGGACGTGCTGAACGTGAGCGCCCCTCACTCTCTTCTGTTCCTTGTGTCCAGCCAACTGTGCTCACGAGCTTTCAAATGTTTCCCTTCAGGGAACGCCGTCGCTCTTCCTCATCCTCCTCCTCTTCAACAGCAGCACGCTGCCGGCCTACGTGGAATCAGAGAGGTGAGTCCCATGTTGTGTTGGGCAGGAAGTGACGGGTCGGACTCTGCTGCTTCACCCGTCTCCGCTGAAATAACTTTACCTTCGTTGTGTGGAACTGGTTCAGCTACAGAAACCAGTTTGATTTAAAGTTCACGTCCAGGCAGCGCAACAAACGTTCTCAGCTGCTTTGGAAACAGCAGCAGGTAGTTTAGAGCCGGACGGACTGTTGGACACCAGTTAGACACCAGTTAGACACCAATTAGACACCAATTAGACACCAATTAGACACCAGTTAGACACCAGTTAAGACACCAGTTGGACAGCAGTTGGACACCAATTAGACACCAATTAGACACCAATTAGACACCAATTAGACACCAATTAGACACCAGTTAGACACCAGTTAAGACACCAGTTGGACACCAGTTGGACAGCAGTTGGACACCAGTTAGACACCAGTTAGACACCAGTTAGACACCAGTTAAGACACCAGTTGGACAGCAGTTGGACACCAGTTGGACAGCAGTTGGACACCAGTTGGACACCAGTTAGGACACCAGTTGGACACCAGTTGGACTCCGTTTGCTGAGCGTCTGTGTGGAGAGGCGTGACCGGTGCAAACAGGAGTAAACTGGACAAGTTTAAATCCGTTTTATTCATCGTCAGGGTTGAGAGGCTCTTCAGAGCTTCTCTGTTTTACTTTAGGATGTAAATCCAAGTCTTAATTAAATTACGCTTGAATAATAAATTAATTGCATTAATTGGAGTTAAAATTTGAAAGAACCTTTAGGTGTTGTTGGAAAATGTTTCTCTATTTTTAATGCTTCTGTTCTGAGCGACGAGCCTTTTCTAGATTAAAAAAAACATTTTTAAATAAATGACGCTACGGTAGATAAAAAATAATCCCTCCCAGTTTTAATCTCAGACGTCAGGATTTTCCAGCTGCTTCATTCCTTCAGTTTTTCCATGATTTTAAAATGTTTTTTGATTATCTATCACTACTGTTTTCTGCAGTTTCTCCAATTGGAAATAAAAAATGGAGCGTGTTTCATTCCTGAGTGGTCTCGTGTCTTCAGGTTCTTTCATTCCTGAG